TTTGTAAAATATACTTTTATTAACGAATGACATATATTTATGTAACAAGCTTATACATTTACGAGAATAGGCCACTTGTGGTATGTGTATGATCATATTCACACACACATGTATATATTATAAAATTTTAAATGTATATTTATACATATGTATATATATACAAAGTTATACACATCGGCGTAGCCAGGGGATGTCAACTGGGAGCCATTGCACCCTTCCTATTCAATACATAACTAAAAAAATATTTTCAGTAAAATTTGTAGTAATGTATATTGGGCTCCTATAGCCACGCTACGTCCATGTATACAAATACATATTACATATATACACATATGATGTATTCGCATACAAATACATACGCAAGATCATGAATACACATACTATGTACATGTATAAACAATATTTGTGGATATATTTATCTGCGCGTGCATAAAAATATTATTATACACATAATCAGTATGCATATATTTTTAGAGAAAAGCACCACAATATTAGATTTTTTACGTATAGGTACATATAAGAACACAGAAACATGCTACTAGGAACGCTATAAAAGCATCACATATCAGATCTTGTATATTTAATTTGCATGTTCAAGTATACATCGAATAGGCATATAAAATAGTTCAATAGGTTTTTACACACACATATATATATATATATATATATATATATATATATATATATAATGGATAATTTCTATATCTTGTAAGGCAGTATTTATTTAATTCAAAATAGAAACATTGAACATCCAGGTATTAGATCTCTACAGTTTGATCAGTCTAAACTATTATACTTATATGTATACCAATGAGAATAATATACACATATACATAATGATGTACATAAAATGTACCATAAAATACATAAATTTTAATTTTAAAACTGTGCTACACGTTTATAGTTTGATAGTACTACTATATCCGAACACTTTGAGGTGCATGAATATATATATATATATATATATATATATATATATATATATTAGGTTGGTCCTTACTATGGAAATTTCCGAATTTCTCTGCTCAAAAAAATTAATAAAAGAAAATTCTGTGAAAGTTTTAGCTCTTAATATTGACTTTAAGATAGTCCACAATCCAATCAAAGTTTCTTATGAAAATAACATGGGAAAAATTCCATTTATTTTTTAGAATTTTATGACTAACATAGAGATAAGTGAATCAAAATTTTGAGAATAACATTGTATTTGCTTATTTTGATCATAAAATAAAAAATTACAACAAAAATTTGATATATTTTTTAAAATAAGTATTTACTTAGGAGGAAGAACCAAGAAACTTTTTTTGAATTACGGTCCATCTTAAAGTCAATATTGAGAACTAAAACTTTCAGAGATTTTTTTTATCAATTTGGAAGCATTTGAGTCCCTGGGAGCAAGGAAATTCGTAATTATCCATATTAAGGACCACCCTAATATATATATATATATATATATATATATATATATATATACACCGATCCCCCGTTTTACACGATACTTGTCTTAAGCGTTTTCAATCTTACACGGTTTTTAAATTTTTTTTTTAACGAAATTTATTATTTTTGCATTTACACGAATTTATGTTACTACAAAATGTATGTTACATTTACGAATTTTTAGTGGTCTATGATGGAAATATGTAGATAAGACGGGAACTCTCCATTTCATGATCAAAATTAAATTTTATGTGTGTATAAGCTAGTTTGTTCGAAATACTAAAGTAAAGAGCATCATTGTTTTTAAACAATATGTATATATATATATATATATATATATATAATTGATCAAGTAAATTTATTCAATGTGAGCAAATATCGTGATCATTTTACAAAATATATAGCTAATAAAAAAATTTATAGTTCCACAATGGCAAAAAATAAAAATAAAAAACTAGATAGTAAGTAAAAAAACAGGTTATATCTTTACAAACCAATTTTAAGTTTTATCTATAAAAAAAATCAATATTTAAAATAGCTTTTTTTTTGTTTCTTTCATAATTGAAATAAATTAATATTTTCATAATTCATTAAATATATTTGATATTAAATATATTAATATTTATTTTTCGTTCAATGTGTTTGTTATTCATCATATTAAAAACTAATAAAAGGGGCTGTTTATAGCGATTTTCGTTTAGCACGTATTTTCCATATAAAAGTGAATTTTTAGAGTTACACGTTTTTTTATGGACGTATCTTTCGTGTAAAACTAAGGATAGGTGTATATATAATGTGTGTACATATATGCGTACATGGATATATGTAAAAATGATGTATTTCAACGTATATATACACATCCACATAAATACTTTCGAATGTAAAAAGATGTTCAGTTCAGTTACCAATAGTGTGTGTATATTTTATAAAATTAAAATATTATGATGCATCTCATTACACTGCATCGGCAGCAAATTTTCTTGGATACTGAACTTTTAGAAAATGTTTTTAGAAAATTATGCGGTTCTCGGCGAACTGTGAATTAGCATTATCAATAAAAATAGAATTGTGACGGTTCTCAGCGGAATACGCGGCGTAGTAATAATTTAAATATTTGCCCGTTATTCAACACAATGCTGATAAATGAACTGTGCGTTGAATTACGAACTTTGATGGCGTCCGCATGAATAAAGATATAGGCACCAAATCAAAATGTATTGTACTGAATAGTTTAATTTTTAATGTATCAATTGCCAATAATACACATAAATTAATCTTGGGTAGTACATCCTTATAAATTACATTGGCATCGCGTCACGTTTATGAACGTACCCGATATACAAATTTCTGTATGTTGCATGTGTTTCAATATATAAATATACACGCACGCACGCACACATACAGATATACACAAATATGCTCGTAAAAACATGTGAGAAGACAAAAACATTTTACTAATCTAATTATTTTGAACGTGCGGTGTTTAGTTGCTTAAAACAGCTAAGAAATAATCTTAAAACAAGTAACACAATTTAAAATATATTAGGAATGATAAGTTTTTGTACAATGTGTTATTAAAATAATCGTCATCATATATTATATAACATCTCGTAACAATATGCATATATATAAAAATTAGGAACTTATAACTTTGAGATTATTCTAGATATTTTGTTCACTCTATTTGTTTTGTGACCATGAAACAATAAATAATTTTTTTGTCATTTTGTATAAAGTTATAATTTAACCATTGAGATAAATATTTGTAAACAAACCCGTTTGTACCCCCTAACATGTGCTCATAATAAATAAAGCAAATTTTCCGTAGTGTGGTAACAAAATTATATTCCTCTTATCTAATACATCATTTACATACGTCATTATTGAATAATTTTACCCGTGGTAAAAAAATAATGTAGACAATAACATTCACATAAATTACTGATTCATAACTCCAAATATATTTTCAGTTTTATTTATATTTATTAATATACTAACGAAGTAAAGTAAGGCTTAGTTTGAGATTTCAGATTTTATAAAAAAAACTTAACATTATCATAAGTCATTAATTCTATATACAAATAACACATAGCTTCTAAATTAATGTTAATTACACATAACGATAAATATTCACGTGTTTGCACATTTAATTATTCACTAGTATTTTAAATTAGGTTTACTGGTAACAAAGCACCCATATGATTGTATGATTGAAGATTCTATATATTTTCCCTCTTAATTATCGTCAACAGTATTTTCTTCTGCTAACTATCTCGATTGGGATATTTCCTTGATAGAAATTTCCTTGGCCATGGTAGCGGCCAATCGTACTGCTTCGGAACCACGCCACCAATGTTCTTTTCAAAGTACCTAAATAATTTAAACCAGAATACCCGCGATAGATAATTATTGGTACTTTTGTGCTTCAGTACACTATTATTGGCCATCGTATGGTAAATGTAGAAGATCCTAGTAGTAACGTAATATGCAATCAGGACGTCAATTGTGTAATGACCGTGGGCCAGAAGAACCATTATGACGCCCATGGTCGATATCAACCAGGATAAATAATGTATAACCCATAATTTCTTTGGACTGTATTCCCTGATCACTAGGCAAGCTAAAACCAGCATGACCGTGTGGCCGCTGTAAATATAATCTCCGCAAAATGTATGCTTACCGTTGATCGATAGACCGAAGCCACTGAGTAACTGGACAACCCTTTTTGTTACTAAAAACGGAGAAGAATTATTTACTTTGGGACTGCAATAATATGTCTTGCTGGGTACAGGAAGAACTGTCACGAACATGGTCAAACTTCTTAGAAGATAAAGTATGGACATGATGAGAAACACTCGACGCATCACTATGAAGCGATGTTTGTGGAAGAATATTAAAACTATGCACATATTAGTTGACAGCATTATCAAAACTTCGCTGACATCCAATGCCCAATCTAAAGATGAGAAGCCGTCCAAAATAATATCCGGCAATGGTCCATAAGTCTGTCTATCTGGCACTCGCTCGTGTACTAGAGCCAAAGATACTGTGGTAATTATGAAGTTTATTACCAGTACTATAAAGGCTATAAAAGTCTTCCACTTTTCTTTGGGAAAACGTGGTTCCGTCCGAACAACTATAGGCGAAGTTGTGTTCGTTATTTCAATCGTTGTCGATGACGAAGATATAGTTGATGGTATTTTCTTGTTATAAGAGGTCGGCATTTCGATCGCCATATCGTTGCCTTGATCACTATGATGAACTAAGTATTCGTAAGCTCCTGAAAGAAAATGTGAACAAAGCATATTTGAAGTTAATTAAGCTTATTACGGTGCAATTTAAATAATATTCAAAGTACTTTAGTTTCAATATTCAATAATTCACATACATTTCTAAAATTATAAACCATAACATACGAAAAAGCCAAAGAAAGGTAATAATTAAACATCTATTATATTTTGGCTACAACGCCATGTTGAAATTGAACACCTTGTAAATAGTAAAAAATTATTTAGAGTAAAAAATATGGGACTGTCTATTGACCCAAAGACATAAATCGAATTTCGATATTAATCATTTAATCAGATAGCGCAGTATTAGCGGTAGCTTTTCACAATACAAGAAATCAAGATATAGTTTATAAAAAGTTGTACTAATAGAAACTTATGTGAACAGTCACGATAAGACTGTTTTAAAATAAAAAAAAATGCATCGCTAAAACCTATTAGAATTTAATGTTTCGCAAAACGAACCATTATATGATTCATTATCAATTTGCACACAAAGCTATTTGCACATTTCGCATTTCTTGGGAAAGATAATACACAAGTTTCAATTCAAAATTTATGTACACCGATTTGAATATTCAACGTGACACATATATGCGAAAATATACTATGACTGCCACACAGTAATAATAAATTTCGTAATTAAGACTGGCAGATACGAGTGTTTCTTTTTTAAACAATGTCTGATACGAATTCATTGACGGCGCATTGAAAAACAACATACATAAGGTAGATATATATATATATATATCATGTAAAGCAAGGTTAATTTACTTTAATTTATTTTCACAACACACTAAACATATTGATATCGTCATTTGTATGGAACCTAATTACACGGCTCATCAACTCGAAAAGCAAACCAATGTTTAACTAACTGAGTTTGTCAAATCATTTAGTTAAATATTATAAAAATTTTACTTCATTCATTACAATAAAGTAATAAAATTATGAGGTATTCACACAATTTTCAAACAAACTAAAATAGTTACAATTCTACGAAATGGAAATGACTAAAAGAATGTCACGAGCGACCGTTATGTGCAAAACAATGTTATGCAGTATCAATATTCTCCACTTAAAACTACAACAAAATATAAGTTTCTATTAGCAATCAGTAATCGATGTTGGTCCAAGGTTCAATACATATCGTAATTCAAATAATTCGTGTCAGTTAGTATTTGCGCTTAATTGACAATGTACCATCTGATCATGAGCATAACAACGAAAAAGTGTCGCTACTTCCTTCAGAAAATAAGATACCATGTTCATATTTCAACGAAATCTGTTCTTACATATTTTGCTATAGAGAAAAACATTAACTCCTCAATGATCTTCCTTTTTTGTCCGTGTTGACTCTTCTAGTATAATTGTAAGCTCATCTAATTCTCTTAACATTAAAATCGACATCGAGTGTCGACTCTAAATTTCTGACAATATCAAATAGTATACAGCAAATTAAGGACCTTTTATATATTTCGCAAAAAATATCAAACAGATTATCTAATAATGCGTTTTTACACTTTCTCAAATATGCTACTAGATTACATTTATGACTAGGATAATGTCTCGAACATGAGTGTTTTGTATAGCTAGTGTGCATTGGCTGAAACTAGTTTATAACATTATTTATTGAATATAATATAAAAATTTAATAAGCATTTTCTTTAACTTCTCTTTTTTGCCAATTTGCTATTAAATTATTGCTGCTTCGTATATTTACATGCTTTGCAATCTATGCTTTTGAATAAAATATAAGCAAGGATAATTTAAGGAAAACGCTTGATCGATAAAAAATCGTTTTATAATATTCCAAATAAAGCATTTTTATTCAGCTGTCATAAACTTTATAGCTTGAACGATTAGATTCAAGATTAAGATTACAATCAAACTCGTAGTAAATTCTGACAAGACGCGATGTATCGTCATATTAATATTTCATTACTTGAAACTTCGTTAAAATTTGAGAATCACATATCATTAGAAAAAATAATCAAATTTACCGAATAAGGGTAATCTGATGTACATACGACTTGTTTTGGAAGACTAAAATTTTGAATCACTTTAAATATGTATATGCAAGGAAGAATTAAACGAATATTTTTGAAACAAAAGAAAAACTAAAACGAATAAATTTCATGATCATTTGAAAGCGTGCCAAATACATCAAATCAAATAAAAAATATTAGAAATGACATTTTTTACTAACAATAAAGTAAGTTTTATAATATCAATAGCATGGTAAGTAAATTGAATGAAGACTTCATGTAAATATTGATTTATTTTTAAATTGTGAAAACGATCAGATAAAAACTCAAACGCCATGAAAATTAAATATAATAATATGTCGAAGAATATCTACATCAAAATGCTTGCCAAATGTCATTCACCATCGATCGTAATATGTTTATCACATATGTATATGGTAGGTCCGCCAAACATTTTGCAGCGCAGCTCATTGAAAATCGCTTCGCATTTGACAAAAGTTATTTAAAAGATACAGCAGTGACACTAAAAAGCGGCAAAAAATCATGAATTTTTATTTTTCAATATATAAATTAATTGAAAAATGAAAATAAAAATATTATTTAGTACAGTAGAAGTTTCTTATTCGCGGGAGATACGTTCCGTAAAAATGCCGTGAATAGATAATCCGCAAATACAGGATGGCATTTTATATGGAATTGTAGGGGATGCGTTTCAAGGTGACAAAATAAATAAAAACAAATATGGTTGAGAACTATTATGTAATGTGCAATATCTTAAGTATAACAAATCCCATATTAAAACTAGTGGGGCGCATGGCATCGTGCCTTAAGGCAAATTGCTGGAACTTCCCGTACCCAAAATTATAATTTTTTCAAAAACAATTAACATTTTTGAAAGAAATTTACTTCGAAAAAATAAGATGTTTGAGAAACTATAAATTTGACAAAAAATTACTTTTTTTTGAAAAAAATTTTTTTTTTTTAAGTTTTCTTTATTTTGATATATTTTGAAAATTCTGAACTTTTTTTCAAAGCAATCATACTGCTTTAACTGCATAGAAACGAAATCTCAAAGCGCGTAAGCGCCGCGTCGCCGTCTAACGGATAAACATTGGTACGGAACCGATAGGAATGTAAACAAATTTTATACTCACTGTTAAAATCTCTATAAAATATCTGATAATTTGATGTGCATATGTCTTCTAATGGTCATTTTTGAACGTCAAATGGCATTTTTTTTACTTTTTTTTTATTATATCTCCGAAACCGCTAGACCTGCCTTCATGAAATTTTGATCAATTCATCTTGTCAATACCAGTAAAATATTTTTTGAATTATTAAAATCGGACGCTCCGTTCTCTTAAAAACCGAGTTACCATTTTTGCCCCGTATCTTCGGAACGGCTAGACCTGCCTTCGCCAAAAACTAATCAGCACATCTCCTTATCAATATAAATCGAATGTTTTTTGAATTATTCAAATCGGTTGATCGGTGTTCCCGAAATCGGTTGATCGGTGTTCCCGAAATCGTTGACGAAAGTTTGTATACGCACACGCACACACACATACACACACACACATATACATACATCCATTTTTTCTAAGGTATGCCAAAATATTCAGAAACCTTCAAAACGTCGAGAAATGCAAAAATTTTAATTTTCGATTTTTTTGCGATTACTATAACTTGCTCTACGGGAAGTTAATTAGTTGGTAATAAGTTTAGTACCACATCTAACATTGATATAAAACTTTATATTAATTACAATAATATTAAAATAAGGGTCGATTTATAAAAGCTTTATATTATTGTTAGATGTGGTACTAAACTCATAACCAATTAATTTTAATAAGATTTAATTTTAAGTTCTACTTAAAATATTGCATATCACATAATAGTTCTTAATACATAAAACAAAAACCATTTACAATTACAGTTTTTGTACATTTTGATTAATTATGTTGAGGCTGAGGCAATGATTTGAAAAACTTTGTAATATTGTTTTGATTCTTTAATTCCAACTGAAACTCAGTCACATCAGCAATTTGACTCTTAAAAATAATAATTTCCATATACGGATCAATGTCCATGCAGAAATCGCACAGTTCATTTTTAATTCTTTACTAAGATTTTTCAATTTCAAATTCAAATATCACGTTTCTATTACTTGTAGAAGCAATTGAAAATAATTTATCTTCTTCAATGGACTGGGAATTTCATTTCGATTTGAGTCAAATTTTACTAAAAATACATTTCGATTGGTTTTCATTCTCAAAAAAACACAGATGGCGCGAAGAGGGCCAAGGCAACGGAGGAGGCTTATGTCAAAGATTTCTTTATTAGTTGAAAATGGCGGCATTTTCAAAGGATTTTCGGTTCGATACATATTGGAATCCGCGAATAACGAAATTTTTAGCCGAGAATATAGGAATTTGGTCGCAATTTTTTTGAAACGCAAATTTTTTTAAAACGCAAATGAAGGAAGCGCGAATAAGGAACTTCTACTGTATGTTGAAATTGCATGTATTCTTTGCCAAATCTGAAATAAGACATTAAAAGTCTTGATTAACAAGAATAAATTATAACAAAAAAAATCTTTGTGTAAGATTTATTTCATCACAAATATAAAAGAATGGTTTTTCTGATCGTTGAAACAAAAATACAATTTTCGACTGAATCTGAAACTTTAATATTGCGCAAGAAAAAAAATTATATTGAAGTATCAATATTTTTTTCCTCGAGTATGTTAGCACCTAGCATTCTAGGTTGAACAAAGTTACTAAAAAAAACTTTCGTAAATTGAAACAAAAACGGTTTCTTAAGGGGGTATTCTAGTGTAGAAATTCAAAAAAATCGATTTTTTTATTTCATATTTTCAAAGTTCAACTATCTAAGAATATGGGTACGAGAAGGTTTTTGAAAATTTGGATTATTTTCGGAGATATAGGCATTTTACTGACTCGGTCTCCATACTGGTTTGGCTTCACGCAAAACTTTAAATGCGTTTTTCTCAGAACAGACTTTTTCAGTACTGTTGACACGATTTCTCGAGTTTTAATCGACCTTGAAAATGTTCAGAGAGTCTTGTTTATAGACCTATCTATAGCCCGAACTAGGATTATCACCAAATTCCAATTTTTACTATTTTTAAAAAATTCGAGAAACAGTAAAAAAACACTTTTTTTTCAAACAGTCGCCGATTTGTAAAAAAAAATTTTTCACTCATCGCTAGTTCGGCCGATTGCGACATCATTGTAGATTAATAATCTTTATTTTTTGCATTTCCGATGGCTAGGAGGGCTAAAATCATGTCGAGGCTGAGTTGCCAATTTTTTGAGACCACCCACTTCATCAGATGCCAGTTTTACAATTTTCAACTTTTTTATATTATAATTTGTGTTTTGTATTTTAATAATATTAATAAACAAGTGGTAAAAGAATGGGTAGTAAAAATATTCATTGCTTTCTTTTACGACACTTTAAAAATGACCTAAAATTCATCGCTCTACACTAGAATACCCCCTTAAGGTTGAACAAACTTACCAAAAAAACTTTCGTAAATTGAAACAAAAACGGTTTCTTAAGTAATTCTGCAGAAATGACAAAAGCGTATGCAATGGCAATTTGATGTTAGTCAATTAAATAAAATTGCTTAGACAGAAAGTTTGAGATTCGTCACGAAGTCCATGACATCATTAAGGTCTTCGCATCGGATATACACGCACCGAGTCGATTCGAGTTTATTGCCAATCAATAATAATTAATGCTCACCTTTGCCAATACAGCCAGCACTTATCAGCAACTCTCTATTTCCACTGCCGTCGATATCATCGACTTCTTCATTACTTTTCAACATCATCATTTCATTTGATGATGAGGATATAGTAGGATGCAGTAGCGGCTGCCTCTGGTCTGCTCCTATCATCAATGATGATAACTCGCCCGAAGTACCAGGAACAATGTTTTGAGAAGATAGGTCCATCCTTCCTGAAAGCGACAACATATCGGTATTAATCTATTGGCACTATTATTAAATCTATCGTTCAATAATATCTAAGCGTAGTACACCTCACAAACTCAATATCAAACCATTAAATAAATACTTATCTTGAAATATATTAGGTTGTCAAATATCTCCCTTCCGCTTTTTTGCTCTTGGTTTATAATACAAAAAGGCGGAAGGGAGATATTTGACAACCTTATATTATTATATCATAACTTTGTTATAAACGTTCTCAGTGTAACGATTAAATATTATAAACTGTAAAATATAAATAATAAAATTATTATAAACTGGTGTGATGGCATTTTGGCTTAAGGGGCACAACTAGTGTGAAATTTCGAAAAAATCGATTTTTTGCATATTTCGGTAGATTACACCTTTAAAAATAACATTTAAAAATTTCAAATCGATTCAATTAGTTTTTAAGTTACAGCCATTTAAAAAGTATATATATAGTGTATAGTATAACGATCATTTAATCTTTAAACGTGTTTTTCTCGAAACAGCATTTTCCAAATTTGCTGCAGTGATTACTCAAAAACGAATGATCCGATCACTATCAACTTTTTTTTACATGTTCTTTATATAGTTCTCCGTAAAATGAACTATCGATTTTTTAATCGGATCAAAAATCGAATTTTGGCAGTCGAAAAACGACCAAAATTTTGGGTAAAATTCGACTTTTTTTAAAAAACGCTGCCATTTTGTCAATTTTTGATTTATTTTTCTATCGTAGTTCATTTTACAGACAATATTATCTAGTTTAACGAGAATTATTTTGTTTTTGATTTCATCCACGTAGAAGGCCGGAATCACTGCAGCAGTTAAGAGCCTTTTTTTTGTCGCGTCGTTGAAGATCGACGATAACTTACAAAATATTTAATTTTTTTCTTCAAAAATTTTACTATGTATACTTAAAACATGTATAAATATATTCCTAAAATTTTGAAATGATTGATAAAGTAGTTATTTAATATAAATTCCCAAAAATCACCTTTTTTAGGCGGTTACACTAGTTGTGCCCCTTAAAGCAAGTTGCATGATGAACTTCTCGATATGTAAAAATAATTGACAAAAATATGTAATAAGAATTGAGATTTAGCAATTGAGACATCAAAATATTTTTTATGACGATAAACGTTTATCGTTATAAATAACGTTTTTCTCTAAAAACTAATCAATGCAATTTCCTATTTCCAATTTATATCTTTCAAATAAACTTATTATATATGCAATTGTTTTAATTAAATTTAATTTAAAGACTCTACGTCAGGTTCTAGAAATATTTTTCATTTAAGTTTGGATGTCAACTGTCAGTAAAAAAAAAACAGAACTGAATAAACATGGTACATATCCTAAAACCACGTCTCATTATTCAAACATCCGTTATTGAATTTTTATAATTAAACTACTTTTCGTATGTCTATAATATCTTAGGATGTAAATTTAACAATTTATCATAACTTATCACTATGCAAAGTTTCATCAAAATCATCAAAAAAAAAATGACAACTAATTAATCTTTACCAAAAACTAATCAACAAAATCGGTACAGGATGTTTTGCAAAATCGTGGAGCAGAATTTGTGAAACACACTTGCAATTTTCCTGCTAATTCTAAAGAAACGGATCGATGACATATTTTTTTCAATTTCGGGTCAAGCGATTCAGAATGGTTTAAAACGTCAAGAAAACAAAATAAGCAAATTGGCGAAAATATAAACTTCACAGGTCAATTATCTAGTTTATATTTTCAAAGATTGGCGACGATAAAATAAGCCGAAAAATGTATGTATTGAAGTATCAATCAAGCCTTGAAGTAACACGCAGTTCAAAGAAGTATTATCAAGTTTAATGAAGTTTCAACAAATTAAAAGTAAGTCCTTCAAATATTTAAAGAAAAGGCAAAACAGCAATTATATATAATCCTTATTATTATTGTATTGTAGAAATAAATGTCTTTTCTAAAAAAAAAACGGACTTTGTAATTACGCCATTGATTCACTCACTATGTAATTCATATAAATCAATATAAATGGATTGTTTTCCTCACCATTGATGTAATCCTTCGGCGATCTCCTTCCAGTAACGATACTGCCGTAATCGTTGTGCGAAATAATTACGCCATTGTTGATGATCATAGGTGAATTATGTTTCGCGCCATTATGTGTTACAGAAGTGTGTTTTCCGGTACTATTTATTAAGGAATTATGTTTAGGTGTACCAATATTATTCTTTTTCTCCTCTTCATCCATTTTATATCGGACTTAAAACACTACTGACACAGTTTTAGAAACACACTCACAAGACGTCACGTTCGTTTTACAACCTTCCTATTTCACATTTTGAATCACAGTTCAAGCATCACAAATCGTTATTATTTACTTTTTGCATTTGATTTTGTTCAATAGTCGTGTTCCACTAATAATTAGCTATATCGTTTTATATTTAAATATAGGGCAAAACCCCTTTTTTACAATTTCTAACCTCAAAATCTTTTGTATAGTTGATATTCACGAATACATTCTTTCGGAACATTTTATAGATGGCATTAAAAATAAAGGTATTCTAAATTTTAACAAGAATCTTACGATTAGTCTTATAAAAACAATGATTGCATTGAAAGTACAGTGTTTTACAATACCATATATACTAACAAAAATTTTGAACACTTATTTTTCGACATCAATTAGCAAGTACAAAACGTCATTTGTGTTGGCATTTAATTCAATGTAACGTTTCGCATAGAAAATAAAAACTGTTTTTTAATTCATGTTTAAATATTGGGTTACCGCATTTATTCACAATGAAATTTTAATTCTTTTATATATTTGACAAGAAATAATTATGATAAGTATTCACTATTAATCTTGTATATTTATATCTTGCAAATGTATTATATTATAAACTATATCTTGTGTTACTTATGAATATTGTATTACTTATGAAACAAGGAATTTCAAATAATTGACGAGCATTTCTATATGCATTATTTTGCAGTAGTATTGTTTACATTTGTATGCACTATCACCAAGTATACAATTCACATGAGAATTTAACGTTTTAAAAACAATATTTTCTTCGTCTATTGCAGCAAACGTCAAATCTCACACTAAATGATACACGCGATCTCCTTTTTTATATAAGTCACATTCTAGAACACGATAAAAAAAATATTATGCATTTCATCTAATTATTTTTACGAAAACTAAATAATATTGAAAGTATATTTATTTTCTACGTGTAGCAAATAATAAAATCATTTCAGTCTCCAAAACAAACTCCACGTATGACACATAGATGATAAATACACTGTAGATTGCAATCTTACAGCAGTCATCCCCACACGAGCACAAACTACTCAGCCTGTGCCAGCTTTGACAGTACTGACAGACCTAGACAACAATGAAGTTGACCAGCTAGTCCCATAGATAAATAAGCATATTATACGGACGGTTCGCCGCCGTTTATCTCACAACAGAATTCCTAACATTGAAATAAAATCCGTTTAGAATCCGCTAAATACCGTTAAATAAATATCTAATTATTACTTAAAATAAAATAAATATTACTTATTTCTTTTCAGCAAAAATTTAAATTCACTTCAATTATAAACATTAAAAATTAGTTAATCAATAAATGTATCTTCTGAGAAATGTATGTGACAACCATAGATAAAAGAAGAGTATATAGCAGCATATACTGTTCTTTTATTTATGGTATATAGATCGCTCTCTCGGGCCATATTTCGTTGCCACGTTTTTCGACAAAAACTGTCAATTGAATAGAAATGCACTTATAATACATAGTTTGAATTCAAAATTTAAAAATAATGAAATATAATTTTAAAAATCATTTATTTTTTAAATAATATTTTGCATACATGATTACAAAAGATGGTATTCATTCAGCCTTATAAGCTAATTGTAAGCACAAAAGGAATTTATATATATATATATATATATATATATATATATATATATTTCTAGGGAAAAAATTACTTATACTTACAACTAGATTATCGACTATCGCTACTCACAAACTTTTTGTGGAAAATAGCCAAACCTAAACTTCCCTTTGCACTAGTTACAATTTCATCATCAAGCATGAATTTCCATTTAATATTCAGTATCTTCTCTTAGCCGACTTAATATATAATAATGAGCACTATTGTTCAATGTCAGATCATCAAATATTTCAGCATTCTTTCTTAAAGTTTTTCCCTGCTTATTTGTCTCATATCAATACTTGTGTTTAGTAAACCCGTTTTATAACTACTTCCAAGAGAAAAACTACTGAAAAAAATCAATGTTAAATTATTTATTATAAACCTTCATTATTAGTGCAAAAATTATTCTTGAAAACTCACCTTTATTAAGTGAGTTGGTTAGTCCGACGGCAATTTTATTTTTCAATATTTATATATAACCTTTAATATTTATTCATATTTCATTTATTCATTTATTCAATATTTATTTATAACCTTAAAATTCCTAGCATTGCTAAATGTCTCAGCTATAATAAAAACGTTTATCAAAATAGTACTAATAGATGCAAGTATTTTGAAGTATGCATATTGATAAAAATACTTACTTATTGTTGAAGGCCAGTGAATATTATTAATTATTTTACATACTACATCGATTCTAGTAGGATATACATAACTATTGCGTTTGGCTTGGTATTTCTGCATTGTAAATCTTTGCAAATCGATGTATAATATTATTTTTTATAGGTTTAACAAGCGTTTATTATAACGTCGAGTTTTGACACTAATCACTGACAAAAAATTCATTTTTTGATTATTTTTGGTCAAACTATAAAGACTTTATTATAAAAACATGATTTGAGTCCATCACCCATCAAATAAAATTGCAGGAAAAAAAAAATACATTAAATTTCCGAGACTTGTAAATTGAAGGAAATATTGTTGGCAAGTAGGTAGGACTCAATACCTCGTCCGATTTTTTTCCTCTAAAGAAATGTTCACTGCAAATGCGATCATCGGGCTTGGGAACCCACGGTGGTGATCCTTCCTTTAACACTACAGATATATATTTTGCATTATTTCACCATTGTATTAATTGAACTGTTTGCAAAATAAATATTTTTTCGCTATGTGATAATTTTTATTGTTCTTTTAATCATAAAATTATAATTATTATATAATAAAATGTAATTAATATATAGATAATAGTTATACAAAATCAATATACCATATACAAGTATATATATATTTTTTATTATTCTAGCCTTGTATTAATTATATTGTTTGCAAAACAATTTATTCTAGTGAGCATTAAATTTTGATAATATAGCAATTTATTGACTTATAATTTTTCTTTTTGCTAAACATAACAATTTTACAACTATTCATAATACTCCGAATTGTATTTTTATAACAATAAGGTTATGATACTTACTTTATTCTTCTAACCGCAGCGATCCACTTTTCCCGTTGATTTTCTTTCCACTTAGCTGTAGAAAATGTATAGAATTTGCAGTCACTTTTTCTGCTGGTATTTCTACAATCCACTACACAACAGCTTTGGTGGCTCATTTTATTTATCTTATTTAAACTTGAAATAAACAAATATTTTATGTGCTTTTGTTTAAAATTTCGGTTATGATAGCCTCATTTAATGCTCAAAGTAGCCACTTTGGTTCCATTCCTTTGCACATAGCGAATACTAGGGAGAGCATTTCTAACTAAAACCCAGATAGAGACATTTGTTCGGGGATTACCGGCCAATGACAACATTAATGTCTGCGGCGGGTCTATAATCGTATGAGGTGGTGGCGGTGGTGGTCCCTGGTACAAACTGTCAAAATACCAAATTTGTCACTGTACGAACTGTCTATAATCGGTGGTAGTTTATTTATCGATGCATATACTCTTCTTTTATCTATGTATCGATGGTAGTCACGTACGAACAGTCAAAAATCTAAATATTCGCCGAGTCACTCATAGATAAGTATAATGCCATCAGGCTGTTTACACATAAAGCTTAACATTCAAAAGGCATAGTTACGGCTTGTAAACAGTGTTTGTGAATCTGCAGATGATAGATAAAATATATGTGTTAGCGATTTTGAATACTCGCGCCAAAACGGATCTCGAAATTATATAGTCTATGATTTGAATTGTGCGAACTTCATGTTGACGCCATATTTGTTGAGGATTGACATTTGACATTATAAACTCTTCTTTTAACTACGATTGACATGTTTGTAAATAAAGAAAACTACCTCTTTATTTTCAAACTTCGACACCCTAAACCCTAGACAATATAATAATGTTCGGCACTTAAATAGAAATACAGAGGTCCTGATAAATTGTAAGATAAATTGTTGTTCTTGTTATATATGTGTATTTTCATTTCAGTTAGTTGAAGGCAAATTACGAATCTGTGTTCTGCATAAAAAATATGGTAATCATAATTTATTTTATTTTTTTGATTATTTTTGTTGTAGTTAACTACATATGGATGTTCACAGCACATCTCCAATTATTTTTGTCATTGATAAAGTTGCACCAGAATTACTTGATTAGGGAGTTATTGTGTCTGAATGTGAAGTGGATTAATTTATATGATTTATTTCACTTACTTTTCTGATTGTGGTAGATAGCAATATGAATTGTTGAAATGTTGTAATCAAGTACAGTGCATAATCAAAATAAGGTGAATGATTTGATTCAATTGCAATTGATAAGTTATAATTGATTTTCTAGTTAGTAAGTTACCTGATATTTAATAAATAATTCAATGGCGATTGAGTCCAATTATTTCTCATATTCTGGTTATGCACTTCACTTTGTACAAAATTGATTCATATTAAACAAGAATCAACAAAAAAAAAAACGATCAAACACTGTCTAATAACAAACCTAAATGATTGTATGTGATATTAATATATGATCATTTCACACAGCCTTTTGCAAGTCGAATTAGAGATATAACTTCAAAATTATGTTGAATATGTAAGTTTATTCTTTTACTCTCTGCAGTATCACCTCATTTCCTCATTTTTTTTCTCCAATCTTCACTTGCATCACAAAACTCGTCAATCGTTTATTGGCTTTTCCTCAGAATCGATATCTCTGATCTCCATAGAGTAATGCATGAAATGTACATTATATCAGTTTTTTCAAAAGTTTAGATTCAAATAACACATTATTTATATTTATCTATCTATGCAATGTACATGAGCAAGTGGGTTGCTTGCTGTTTTCTGTCAACGAAATGAAACGGTCAACGGGTTTTCATCAAGAAGTTAAAATCAGCTTCACACTTTATTTGAATTTGGATGAATTGACACTTTTCAATTAATTCCATAGACAATATAATAATGATTAATTCTTTTCTTGGTCAGTTCCATTATAATATGAATATATTTTATTATAACATTGTCTAGTTTCAATCATAGTTTATATGATGTATGTAATGTGATACATTATAGCAATATGTATATTATATTCTCATATTGTCTTATATATTATAGCTTTATAGCATTCTTGCATTATCTAAGGTTCCAAACTAGCTGTAAGTGGAATTCTGTCTTGAGGCAATTAAGGCATCGTGCCTTAAGGCAAATTGCTGGAACTTTCCGTACCAAAAATTATTATTTTTTTAAAAACGATTAACATTTTTGAAAAAAAAAATTACTTTGAAAAAATAAGATTTTTGAGAAACTATAAATTGGACAAAAAATTACTTTTTTTTGAAAAAATTTTTTTTTTAAAAAAAAAATTTTTTTAATTTTTTTTTTGTTTTTTTTTAAAAAATTTTTTTTTTATTTTGACATACTGTGGAAGATCTGAACTTTCTTTTCAAGGCAATCGTACTGCTTTAACTGCATAGGGACAAAATATAAAGCGCGTAAGCGCCGCGTCGCTGTCTAACGCATAAGCATTGGTACGGAACTCATAGGAATGTTAACAAATTGTATACTTATTGTTAAAATCTCTATAAAATATCTGATAATATGATGAGCATATGTCTAATGATCATTTTTGACCGCCAAATGGCTCATTTTTTTACTTTTTCTTCCATATCTCTGAAACCGCTAGACCTACCTTCATGAATTATTCAAATCGGACGCTCCGTTCTCTCAAAAACTGAGTTACCGTTTTCGGCACTTTTTGCCCCGTATCTTCAGAACGGCTAGACTTGCCTTCGCCAAAAACTAATCAGCACGTCTCCTTATCAATACAAATCGAATGTTTTTTGAATTATTCAAATCGGTTGACCCGTGTTCCCGAAATCGTCGACGAAAATTTGTATCCGCACATACATACACACACGTACATACATACACACATACACACACACACACACAGACATACATCCATTTTTTCTAAGGTATGCCAAAATGTTCAGAAACCTCTGAAACGTAAAGATATATAAAAATTTTCATTTTCGATTTTTTTGCGATTACTATAACTTGCCCTACGGGAAGTTAATTAATTGTAGTCGCATCCGTCTCTTATTCTAATAATATTGAAAAGAATTGACACTTTTATGGAATTAGAGTAAAAATGAAATCAAACATTTTAAACAGGTAAAAATATATTGTTACACTTTTTTTTATTAAATATTTAAATCTCATGTTCTCAAATTATTATTGTGAAGGACTGTGGAAAATGATATACTGTTTTACTGATAATAAAAAATTATTAAATTTAAATAGAAAAGGTGTTAATAGAAATTAAATAAAATATTAAATTTTATTGTAAAAAATATTTTGTATTTTTAAAAAATACATTATTGAAAACTATAAGGCGAAGATGTTGAGCTTTGATTAATAACTCCAAATATCTCTCCATAATTACAGTGCCCATTTAGCTCTCAGATAACATGAAGGTAACTCGAAGAAATCACTTTTTGTCTGGCTAAATTATACTATTTAATCATATGTACTATTGGAATAGGTTTTGTGAAAGGGGTTCGATCATTCAATTGGAAAACCAGTGAGTGTATTTGACATATGAAGGTATCAACATATATCATGGTGAGAACTAAAAATTTTCTATTCGGCCTAATAGACTGAGATTAAGTTATACGTCAAATGTACTTACCACATGGATGTGCTTGGTGATAATATTAAATAATTTGATCTATTGTCTGATCAGGAATTTGTGCTGAAATTATTTCATCAATATCATCTGGACGTATTTTATCTCTAAGCTAAATTAAAATGTGGGTATGAGGCAATCCATGTTTTTGCCACTCGATTGAGTATAACCAATAACGTGAGATACCAAAAATTAAATATTTAACAATAAAGTGAATTAACGATTTTAGTTTTTGCGGTTGTGTCACATAGATGATTTGCTTGTTGCCAAAATTTGAGATTCAAATATATTTTATTACGTTATGTAGGGTATGATACAATATAATTGAATACATATTTTTCTACCCTAGAGTGCGAGACATTTGTTTCTAATGCAATAACTAAAAATAATTGAAATAATCAGATGTACATGCAACCAAAAAGGAAAACTATTAGAAGTTTTCAAAAAAAAAATTACATCTGTTTTTTTTTTAGATAATCAAATAACCAAAAAAGAAGAACAATTGCACGACAATACATGGACATAGACAATATTTGGTTGATACACAATTACATAGAAAATATATATTAGACACTAAGGGTCGATAAGAATATAGTTTGTGTATGAATTTCGAACACATTTATAACATCTGTAATTATATTAATTATATTGCATAAGCACGTGTTCTAAATTTGATTTAATTTATATAATTCAACCAATTTTTGTAGGACTTGTTTAGTGCATGAACTTAATTGCCATGTTAATTTTCATGAAAAACGTCAAAATATTTTTTTTTTTTTTAAAAACTTTAAAGCATCTGCTGAATAATTATCTAAAATACTGTCACAATAAAGTGAATTATGTACGTAGTTCTAGATATTATTTAATGATTTAAATGAATGGTAATTTTTTTTAAAAAGACTAGAGAAGTCATAGATTGTCATTTAGTTTTTTAGCTAATTTCAAAACCATTTCTAATTGACTTGATTATGACTTATCACATCACAAAAGCGATTTTTAACACCAATTTTGGCCATAATATTTTTTCAAACTTTGAATTTTCAAAATTAACTCTTTCTACTCGCGAATTCCGAGATGTATATGAACTTTGCCGCCGGACTTGTCGTGGGGAAGTAATATTTCAGTATGTTCCATGATACATGCTAAGTGGTTAAAACCGTGATATCTATCACCAAAAAAAAGTTTCATAAAAATCGGCAAAAAACAAATTTCAACAGTTAATTACAAGCAAACAGCTCAGTTGATCTTCTTATTCCCAACTATCCTTCGAACAGTTTTTGATTCTTTTAAATCGATTCAGGATTGTGAGCTAAAACGTGAACGAAAATATTACACTTTCTTGCAATTTATAAAGAAACAGCTCGGCCGATCGGCACACAAAACTGAGAAACAGTAGTCCTTATCGAGATACATCGAATGGCTTTCAAATTTTTGAAATTGGTTTAGACGTTTTCGAGCAAACGTCGATGAAAGATCTAATTTTTTTTATAAACGGCAAAAAAACGCTACTAATTTTTTCAAATTTTGACGAATTTTTAAAATTAAACGACTTGTCGTAGGGCCGTAATATTTTGCTGTGTTCTAAATCAACAGTTAATTACAAGAAATTGTGCCAGTGAATATTTAATAAAAACTAACCAGGTCGATTTTCAACCAATATCTTTTGAACGGTTTTCGAAGTTTTGAAATCGATTCAGAATTTCGGGCTAAAACGTGGTCGAAAAATTTTTCACTTTTCTGTGATTTACAAAAAAAAAAACTTGGCCTATCGTCGCGCAAAACTGACAAACGATAGTCTTCTTCACAGATAAAACAGGTATAAATGGTCTTCATCAAGATACGTCGTATGGCTTTTAAAATTTTGAAATCGGTTCAGTCGTTTTTGGAAAAACGTCGATTTAAGGTAAAAAATCTGTTTACACATACTTTTTCCAAATTTGCTCTCATTCGATTTAGAATGGCTTGAAACGTCGAGAAAACATAAAATTAGCAAATCGGATTTCTTTTTTTTGTTGGAAACAAAATTCTGCGGAAAGTTAAAAAGTAAAAAGAAATGCAATTTGGCGATCAAAAATGATTATTAGACATCTGCCCATCGAATTATCAGATATTTTATAGAGATTTTAATATTAGATACAAACTTTGTTTGCATTTCAATGGTTCCCGTACCAAGATTTATAATGTTTAACTAACCGTTTGACTACGGTGCGTCCGTCTAAAAACAAATTCAAAATTTTCAAAAAAATAAAAAATGGAAATAATTCGAAGTCAGCTTTTTCAAAAATTTCAAAATTATCAAAAGTTTAATTTTTTCAAAGTTTACAAAAAATTGTAAAGCTTTTAACACTATGAAATTATAATACGGTAAGTTCCAGCAATGTGCTTTAAGGTACGATGCCATACACCACTAGTATAATTTATTATGAAACTAGATATTTTCCTAAGTTTATTTCTAACAATATGCTGTACTATATCATCCTATTATTTAACTACAACAATTAGCATGTCAATTTTTTAACGCATTGAAAGTTAATTAAGGGGGTCTTTCTATCTGACGGCCTGTTTATTAGGGATATTTTAGGATTTTTTTTCTACGACCAGTAAATATTTAGAGCTTGAAGTTTTTTATCATTTATTAACACATATTTGGACAGTATAAATATAAAATTTCAGCTAAAAATATTCAGTCAAACTAGAGTTACAGCGCTCTGAACACCCCCGCTTCGAAAAAAAGAGCTCTCACTTCCTCCACGATTCCGGCTGATTGGCTTATCTGAAAAAATAATAAACGGCGTTTTAATTTGTAGGCTTAAAAGCACGGAATGACCTATAATCAAATGAATATAAAAAAATTGGATTTTTGATAGACATTTGAAATAAAAGTTGCAAATTAGGCGTTTTTTTTGTTTTTTTTTTTGATAATATTTTATTGATAATAGTTCATTCGATGCGTTTAAATATATTGAGTGAGCCCTGTAAATTTCAAGTAATTCAGTCCAGCCGTTTCTGAGATACAATGGAGGAAAGTTTGAAAACGCGTTTAAAGTTTCAAGTCCGTTAAAAACTATTAAAATATCAACTTACTCTCAATCGGCGATGCCTGGTCCATAGAGTATTCCTTCCTCTTCCTCGTGAAACTCTTTTGAAGCAGATTGTTCAGCTCTTGAGTCAATCCTGGCTTGTTTAACGACATCACTTACGCGCCGCTCAGAACGTACGATTCGCTTTTCATCCCGTTTCTCAACATACGCTTGGGCTTCACGACCAACAGGACATCCCATTATCGACATAACTTTTAAAATACATTGAAAACCTTCATTAAAGATAATAACTGCTATGTAGCTAGCAATTTCAACAATTTTGGGACCAGAATGAAGATGATTAGGAGCGAAAGTCCAAATCAAAGAATTCAAAGATTCGTTATTGTTTTGTGTCTCTGCTCCTAAACAAACTTTGTATAAACGGATATATGAATAAAAGGGAGGCCGGGTATAAAGACGACGGTACACAATAGGCCCGGGCTCTAACTGCCAACTCAGCGCTCCGAATCGCTCTTTCTTTTACCTGCTGTATCTTTAAAACGACTTCGAATTTTCTGAAATCGCTTTACTACCGTATTCTAGACATGTTAAGGAAGCAATTTATGAAAAAAAATCGATTTTTTCAACCCATCACATAGGAAGACCCCCTTAAGCAGTGAAATTATTTCAGTTTTCATTTTTTAAATATTAAAAACCTTTGCCGCTCATTTATATCGACCAAAAGCAATAATCAACAGAAATTATCTTTTGCAGATTCCAGTCCGCCGAATTCGAAGTGTTGTTAAACATGTGCAAGGAGCGATTTTGACATCAAAAACAGGTAGATTTTGTTGAACAAATTGCACTTGGCAATCTTGGCTTGTATTTTGTTCGATAGCAGTGAATTTACGCGCATGTTTGTGCATGAGTGTACAAGCGTGTTTCAATAACTAATAACAAATTTTCAATTGTATACTTTTTTTTTAAAAAAAAAAAATCAAAACTTTCCAATTTTTTTAAAATTCCAATAAATTAAATTTAAACTAGTTGGTATTGGTATTTTGCCTTGAGGCAAGTTACATGAACTTCTCGATATGTGTAAATAATCGACATAATCAATAAAAAAATAAATTAATTTATGAGTGATTAAAAGTATTCCGAGTGCATTTATCGCACATAATTGAAAACGAACGAACACGTTAATCGGAGTATTTTCTAAAAGCAAATTTTCAAAAATCAACAATTTTTATAATTGAATCAGTTTTCGTAAGGCTTTAATGGTTTAGTATGTCCATTAAGACAAAGTACTTTATTGTTGTACCAAGTAAATCGTCTAATTTTAATTGTAACCAACATCAAAAAACTACTCTTTTGAGTAGATTCTCAAAGTTTGAGACTATGATGAATTTTTAAAATTAAACTACTTGTCGTAAGGCCGTAAAATTTCATTAAGTTTTATAAGACCGTGATATATATCGCCAAACAAGTTCCATAAAAATCGGCTTAATTTTTTTTTCAACAGTTAATTACATGAAAACGGCTCGGTAGATTTTCACCTAAAACTAATCAGTATCAATCCACGCACAAAACTGAGAAACGATCATCCTCATCGAGATACATCAAATGCCTTTTAAATTTTTGAAATCGGTTCAGTCGTTTCTGAGCAAACGTCGATGAAAAACGATACTAATTTCTGCAAACTTTGATGAATTTTTAAAATTAAACGACTTGTCGTAGGGCCGTAATATTTTAGTATGATTTATAAGACTATGGTGTCTACCGTCAAAAAAAAAAATCATGAAAATCTTCGAAAAAATTTTTTTAACACTTTATTACAAGAAAACAGCCCGGTCGATCTTTACCAAAAACTAATCAGAACGATTCCCAACCAATATCTTTCGAACAGTTTCTAAATTTTCAAAATCTATTCAGAATTGCGGGCTAACACACACACACACATACTTTTTTCAAATTTGGTCTCATTCGATTCAGAATGGCATGAAACGTCGAGAAAACATAAAATTAGCGAATAGGATTTTTTCATGAAAACAAACTTCTTTTCCTTCGGGAAGTTAACAATTCAAAACACTCAAAAAATTACAATATTTCAAAAAAAAAACTTTATTTAAAAAAATATCATCAAATCCAACGTTTTATGTGCGTGCGTGGTATTAATGCGAGCGCTCGTGTGTGAATTTAAAATTTTTCAAAATTACAAAGAAAACTTTCGAAATTTTTATTTTTAAATTAAAAAAATTAATGTTCAAGTTTTACGAACAATCGTTTTTTTTTTTAAATAAAAAAAAATCGATTTTTCGACATTTTCAAAAAAAATTGAACGGTGTACGTTTTTTATATAAAAACTCAAATTATTAAAAGTTTTAAAATGATTTAAAAAATTTAAATAGAATTTTCATATTTGTTAACATTTCAATTTTTTCGATGCGTGTGCCTGCAATTGTGTGCTTGGGTGAGTGTGCATGTCGGCTTACAAAAGATTTTTTTCAAAAAAATTCTAAATTTGTGCATGCATATTTAAAAAAAATCAGAAGTTTGAATTTTTTTTTCATAATTTTTCAAAAAAATTTAAAATTCTCAAAAAGAGAGTTTTTTTATGTACGTGATGTGTGGCGATCGCTCGCGTTTGTAAGTGCGTGTATGCGTGTTTTTGCGCATAGTGCAGTAAACGGAGAGGAAAAAAGGGTGTAACCTCTGAATTTTTTAACTGTGCTCCGAATTGAATGAAATTTTGGAATTAGGTTCATCTTATCCTCAAGTTCAAAAGTGAAAACAATTTGGGTTGCGCCATCACCCCCCGGGGGGATGATACCCCTTCTCAATTGTGTAAATACATTTTTTCAAAATAACGTCGGAAATCGATAGAAGAACTAATTATAAGAGAAAAATGTCTTTTATAGTTTTTCAAAAAAACTAATACTTTTCAAGTTACTGGCCACTAAAGATTCATATATTTTCGGCGTTTTTCTTCGTTTTTTTGCAAATATCTCCTAAAATATACATTTTAACAAAAATCATGTAATGAACAAAATAATGTCAATAAAACTCTTAATAAATCAGTATTACATAAAGTGTTCTAGGAAAAATATTAAGCAAGATTTGAAATAACAAAGTCGTTTTTTATTTCGTTCAAGATTTAATTGTTGTGTTTAAAGCCATCTAGTGTCGAGGTATTACATTTTATGCATTTCGGTGAAATTGGGTTTTATAGTGCTGTTGCAAGTTTTTTGTGTGTGAAATGAGTGAGCTATCATGCAAATAAGAAGCATATACGAATTTTTTTTCTTTTAAATCATATGGTTTAATGAGCGCCATTTCCACCAGAATTAAAGTAATTCACATTCCATCTAGAATTCACTTCATTATAGACATCTTGATGGATTCTAGCAGATTCACTACTTTAGTACAAACTATTTTCAGAAAACTCACGATTTTATAAAAAATTTTTTTCCAATTAGCGCGGCCGCGCAGTCTTTAAACATTCATAACTCTGTCAATTTTTGTGTGAAAGAAAAATAATAAAAAACAATAATAGGCCAGAAAGGTCCCTTTGATTTTTATCCTTATGATTTTATACGTATCTTTTATTCTTTTTGAGATATAATGAAAATAATTTCGATTTTTAAAAAAAAATGGAAAAAAAAGTTTTTATAAAATCGTGAGTTTTCTGAAAATAGTTTGTACTAAAGTAGTGAATCTGTTAGAATCTATCAGATGTCTATAATGAAGTGAATTCTAGATGGAATGTGAATTACTTTAATTTTGGTGGAAATGGCGCTCATTAAACCATATGATTTAAAAGAAAAAAACTTCGTATATGCTTCTTATTTGCATGATAGCTCACTCATTTACACGCAAAAAACTTCTAACAGCACTCATTTTAAAGCTTATGTTGAACACTATAAAACCCAATTTCACCGAAATGCATAAAATGTAATACCTCGACACTAGATGGCTTTAAATACAACAATTAAATCTTGAACGAAATAAAAAACGACTTTGTTATTTCAAATCTTGCTTAATATTTTTCCTAGAACACTTTATGTAATACTGATTCATTAAGATTTTTATTGGCATTATTTTGTTCATTACATGATTTTTGTTAAAATGTATATTTTAGGAGATATTTGCAAAAAAACGAAAAAAACGCCGAAAATATATGAATCTTTAGTGGCCAGTAACTTGAAAAGTATTAGTTTTTTTTTAAAACTATAGAAGACATTTTTCTCTTATAATTAGTTCTTCTATCGATTTCCGACGTTATTTTGAAAAAATGTATTTACACAATTGAGAAGGGGTGTCATCCCCCCGGGGGGTGATGGCGCAACCCGAATTGTTTTCACTTTTGAACTTGAGGGTAAGATGAACCTAATTCCAAAATTTCATTCAATTCGGAGCACAGTAAAAAAATTCAGACCTAAAACGCTCCGTTTACTGCACTAGCATTAGTGAGTGTGAACGCGTGTTTAAAAAAACTCTAATCTCTAAACATCAATTTTTGTGAACTTTTAACAGCAATTCTTTTTAATTCAAAATTTTCAAAAAATGTCTTATTTTCAAAATTTCGATTTGAATTGCGTGTGGCCACGCGCGCGTGCTCGCCTGTATGTTGTTACCTGAATTTAACATGAAAATAAAAAAATGTTACTATTGAAAATTTTGAATAAAAATTAATTTTGAGTTTTTTTTAAAAAAATATGACTTTTTGTGTAAAATTTTGGGATTTGTGAATGAATGAATATTTTATTTAAAGTTATGAACTTTTTTTTGAAAGTTATGTTTTTTTTTTAATTTTACCAATATACCGAGAGTATTTTAAATCAATAAAACTTGTAAAAAAAGAGTATAAAAGCAAACCTTTGCTCCTATATATATATATATATATATATATATATATATATAATCCTATATAAATATATATATAAATATATATATATATATATATATATATATATATATAATTGTACTTTTAAAAAACACTCGTCAAAAAAAAAATTGAAATTGAATTTATTTTAAAAATATATTTTTCTATACAAAATTCTTAAAAAATATATATTTTTTTATCCAAATTTTCAAAAACGTTTTTTTTATCAAAATTTATCAAAACGTAACTACGTTTTAACAAAAATTTCGAAAATATTTTTTTTTTTAATTTTGACAACAAAAAAGTTTCTACATGTCCGAAAGATGGAAAATTTAAAATTTTTATGCGCGTGAGTGTGTACGCGTGCGAAATTCATAAAAAAATTCAAAGCTTGATATGTGTGTTACAAAAATTTTCGGAGAAAAGTGTTGGAATGTTTTTCTGTATGCGTTTTTTCCAATTTTGTTTTTAAATTTCATAATTCCACTTACATTTTACATAGTTTTGTTTTTTGTTGCAGAAAGTTTGAAGAATCGAATAAATTTTCGATAATTTTTTTTTTTATTTTCGAAAAAAAAATTCTGCATCTTCAAAAAATTAAAAATTTAACTTTTGTTTGTGCGTGAAGATCTAGTGAAAAAAGTAAAAAAAAAGCCATTTGACGGTAAAAAATAATCATTTGACATATGCACATCAAATTATCAGATACTTTATAGAGATTTTAACAATAAGTATAATATTTGTTTACATTCCTATGGGTTCCGTACCAATGTTTATCAGTTAGACGGCGACGGCGCGCTTACGCGCTTCAATATTTCATCTCTATGCAGTTAAAGCAGCACGATTGCTTTGAAAAAGTTCAAAATTTACAAAATATTGCAAAATAAATAAAACGTTGTTTTTTGAAAAGTCATTTTTTCTAAAAAAGGAAATTTTTATCAAAAATTTATAGTTTCTCAAAAATCTAATTTTTTCAAAGTAAAATTTTTCAAAGATGTTAATCTTTTTTAAAAAAAATAATTTTTGGTATGGGAAGTTTCAGCAATTTGCCTTAAGGCACGATGCCATGCGCCCCAATATTTCAATTTTGTTTTTAACACGTTCACGCCGGTGCCGATTTTCGTATGTTTGTCTGTGAGGCTGCGTGTGGTTATTACCTTTGAAATACGTACCACCGGTGGCCCACGCCGATGTAAACGTGTTAAATTTCAAAATGTCACGTACATTTTACATAGTTTTGTTTTTTGTTACAGCAAGTTTGAAGAATCGAATAAACCTCAAAAATGTTTAAAGAGAGGAGGATGACTGAATGTCGAAGAAGATAATTCAACGCAGAATATGATAACATTGAGAACTAAATGTTTTATTTATTTATGATGAGAAATATAGAATGTTATTTTATTACTTGTTTTATTTAAACAAATTTTACAAATTTGAACAAAAATGTTTCATGATTGTATCATTATTGTCTCAACAAATTATATTCTATTCAACTCACCTACTGTTCGTGGGTGTGACTCGTCATGGATAAATGAGTTAAGAAGCGCGGATTGGAAAAGATGACTGGGAATGACAGTGTAGGTTCTTCGAGTATTGTGTAAGGCAAGCTGAGGTCAACAAGATGGAAAAATCAAATGCTAGACATGGGTAGAGTAACGTAGAGCATGGTAAGGTGGTAAGCTATAAAGATGAATTTTACAATGTTTCGAAAATTTAATTTGCTTTTCAAATTTTTATTTTTCAATATTTTTTTTTTAATTTTCAAAAGAAATTAAAAAACTATTAGTCTGAATTTCTTTTTTAATTCTTAAATATTTTTTTTTAAATTTTCGATAAAAAAAACTTAAGCCCAAATAAAATTTCGAATTTTTTTGATAATAATTTTTTTCAAATTCTTTTTCAAAATTATTTTGTCAATGATTTTTTCCAAAATTGTTTTGACAATATTTCTTTTTCATTTTTTTGCCAATAATTCTTTTTTCAAAGTTTTTTTTATCGATATTTTTTTCAAATTTTTTTTTCAATGTTTTTTTTCAAAATTTTTTTGTCGTTAATTTTTTTTCAATTTCTAGTTCAAGTGAGAATCAATCACTTCTGTCAGGTTTTTTTTCACCAAAATTTTTTTTTCTAAAATTTTTTTACCCAATTTTTTTTTCTCCAAAATGTTTTTTCCCAACATTTTTTTACCCAAAAATGTTTTCCCTAAAATTTAATAAAATTGAATTGAGTGAAAAAATTTGTTTCAGAATTTTTTTTCCCCAAAATATCTTTTTCAAAAATTTTTTCCGAATTTTTTTTCCAAAATATAAAATATTAGACTTGTTTAAACAGCACCTTAATTGCTGAAAGTTTACTACATATGCGACAGACGTCGCATCCATAATTCATTCGTATGCATTTTTCAATAGATTCATTCATAATAGAACATTCTCTAAAATATAAAATGCATGTGCCTTTGCGGGTATTAAAACTTCGGTCCCCAAATTTTTTTCCAAAAAACTTTTTTCCCAATTTTTCCCCCATTTTTTTCCAAATTTTTTTTTCACTATTTTGTTTCCAAAAATTTTGGTAAAAAATTTTTTGTAAAAAAAAATTGGTAAAAAATTTTTTGGAATAAAATATGGGAAAAAAATTTGGGGAGAAAACTTTTGGGAAAAAAAATTTAGGGAAAAAAATGTGGGAAAATAAATTTGAAAAAAAAATTGTGAAAAAAAAATTGGAAAAAATATTTGAAAATTTGAAATATTGACCAATTTTTTGGCCAAAAATTTTTTGACCAAAATTTTTTTTCCAAAATTTTTTTTTCAAAAATTTCTTTTCAAAAATTTTTTTGACCAAAATTTTTTTGACCAAATTTTTTTTACCAAAATTTTTTGGGCCAAAATTTTTTTTTGACCAAAAATTTTTTGACCAAAAATTTTTTTCCAAAAATTTTTTTAACCAAATTTTTTTTCAAAAATTTTTTTCAAAAAATTTTTTTTCAAAAATTTTTTTTGACTAAAATTTTTTTGACCAAAAATTTTTTGACCAAAATTTTTTTTCCAAAATTTTTTTGACCAAAAATTTTTTGACCAAAATTTTTTTTCCAAAAATTTTTTTTCAAAAATTTTTTTGACAAAAATTTTTTTCACCAAATTTTTTTGGGCCAAAATTTTTTTTGACCAAAAATTTTTTTGACCGAAATTTTTTGGGCCAAAATTTTTTTGACCAAATTTTTTTGTGACCAAAATTTTTTGACCAAAAATTTTTTGACCAAAATTTTTTTCAAAAAATTTTTTGGGCTAAAATTTTTTTGGCCAAAATTTTTTGGGCCAAAATTTTTTTGACCAAAAATTTTTTTGACCAAAAATTTTTTGACCAAAAATTTATTTCACCAAACTTTTTGGGCCAAAATTTTTTTTGACCAAAATTTTTTCGATCAAAATTTTTTGTGCCAAATTTTTTCTGACCAAAATTTTTTGACCAAAAATTTTTTGACCAAAATTTTTTTCAAAAATTTTTTTGGGCTAAAATTTTTTTGGCCAAAATTATTTTTTCTTAAGTTTTTTGGGCCAAAATTTTTTTGATCAAAATTTTTTGGGCCAATTTTTTTTTGACCAAAAACTTTTTTGACCGAAAATTTTTTTGACCAAAAATTTTTTTGACCAAATTTTTTTTCAAAAATTTTTTTGGGCTAAAATTTTTTTGGTCAAAATTTTTTTGGGCCAAAATTTTTTTTGACCAAAATTTTTTTTGACCAAAATTTTTTTGACCAAAATTTTTTTAATGAAAATTTTTATGACCAAAATTTTTTTCAAAAATTTTTTTGGCCAAAATTTTTTTGGGCCAAAATTTTTTTGACCAAAATTTTTTTCATGAAAATTTTCATGACCAAAATTTTTTTCAAAAATTTTTTTGGCCAAAATTTTTTTGGGCCAAAATTTTTTTTGACCAAAATTTTTTTGACCAAAATTTTTTTTACCGAAATTTTTTTCACCTAAATTTTTTCGCCCAAAATTTTTTTTGACCAAAATTTTTTCGATTAAAATTTTTTGGGCCAAAATTTTTTTGAGCAAATTTTTTTGTGACCAAAATTTTTTCCGAAAATTTTTTGGGCCAAAATTTTTTTGGGTCAAATTTTTTTTGACCAAAATTTTTTTCAAAAATTTTTTTGGGCCAAAATTTTTTTGACCAAATTTTTTTGTGACCAAAATTTTTTTCCAAAAATTTGTTGGGCCAAAATTTTTTTGACCAAAATTTTTCGGGCCCAAATTTTTTGACCAAAATTTTTTTCAAAAATTTTGGTCAAAAAAATTTTGACCCAAAAAAATTTTGACCCAAAAAAATTTTGACCCAAAAAATTTCGACCCAAAACATTTTGACCCAAAAAAATTTTGATCAAAAAAATTTTGGGGAAAAAAAAATTATGGTCAAAAAAATTTTTGCCCAAAAAATTTTGGTCAAAAAAATTTTGGTCAAAAAATTTTGGCCCAAAAAAATTTGGTTAAAAAAATTTTGGCCTAAAAAATTTTGACCCAAAAAATTTCGGCCCAAAAAATTTTGGTCAAAAAAATTTTGGTCAAAAAAATTTTGACCCAAAAAATTTCGGCCCAAAAAATTTTGACCCAAAAAAATTTTGCCCAAAAATTTTGACCCAAAAAAATCTTGGTCAAAAAATTTTGGTCAAAAAATTTTGGTCGAAAAAATTTTGACCCAAAAAAATTTTGACCCAAAAAATTTCGGCCCAAAAAATTTTGACCCAAAAAAATCTTGGTCAAAAAAATTTCGGCCCAAAAAATTTTGACCCAAAAAAATCTTGGTCAAAAAAATTTTGGTCAAAAAAATTTTGACCCAAAAAAATTTTGACCCAAAAAATTTCGGCCCAAAAAATTTTGACCCAAAAAAATTTTGACCCAAAAATCTTGGTCAAAAAATTTTGACCCAAAAAAATCTTGGTCAAAAAAATTTTGACCCAAAAAATCTTGGTCAAAAATATTTTGGTCAAAAAAATTTTGGTCAAAAAAATTTCGGCCCAAAAAATTTTGACCCAAAAAATCTTGGTCAAAAAAATTTTGACCCAAAAAAATCTTGGTCAAAAAAATTTTGGTCAAAAAAATTTTGGACAAAAAAATTTTGACCCAAAAAAATTTTGACCCAAAAAATTTTGGCCCAAAAAATTTTGACCCAAAAAAATCTTGGTCAAAAAAATTTTGACCCAAAAAAATTTTGACCCAAAAAATTTCGGCCCAAAAAATTTTGACCCAAAAAATCTTTGACAAAAAAAAATCTTGGTCAAAAAAATTTTGGTCAAAAAAATTTTGACCCAAAAAAATTTTGACCCAAAAAATTTCAGCCCAAAAAATTTTGACCCAAAAAAATCTTGACCCAAAAAATCTTGATCAAAAAAATTTTGACCCAAAAAAATCTTGGTCAAAAAAATTTTGACCCAAAAAAATTTTGACCCAAAAAATTTCGGCCCAAAAAATTTTGACCCAAAAAAATCTTGGTCAAAAAAATCTTGGTCAAAAAAATTTTGGTCAAAAAAATTTCGGCCCAAAAAATTTTGACCCAAAAAAATTTTGATCAAAAAAATTTTGGGAAAAAAAATTTTGGGGAAAAAAAAATTATGGTCAAAAAAATTTTTGCCCAAAAAATTTTTTACCAATTTTTTTTTCACCAAATTTTTTTTCCAAAATTTTTTTTCCCCACAATTTTTTTCCCAACATTTTTTACCCAATTTTTTTCCCTAAAATTTAATAAAATCGAATTGAGTAAAAAATTTTCTTTCAGAACTTTTTTTCTAAAAAATTTTTTGCCTAAAATTTCTTTCCCAAAATTTTTCTCCCAAATTTTTTTTACCAAAATTTTTTTTAACCAAAAATTTTTTTGACCAAAATTTTTTTGACCAAAATTTTTTTGGGCCATAATTTTTTTGACCAAAAATTTTTTTGACCAAAATTTTATTGACCCAAATTTTTTTGACCAAAATTTTTGGACCAAAATTTTTTTCCAAACATTTTTTTTGGCTAAAATTTTTTTGACCAAAATTTTTTTGACCAAAATTTTTTTGACCAAAAATTTTTTTGACCAAAATTTTTTTGACCAAAAATTTTTTGACCAAAATTTTTTTGACTAAAATTTTTTTTCCCAAAATTTTTTTGACCAAATTTTTTTTGACCAAAATTTTTTTGACCAAAAATTTTTTTTCCAACATTTTTTGGACCAAAATTTTGTTGACCAAAATTTTTTTTCCCAAAATTTTTTTCCCCGAAATTTTTTTGACCAAAATTTTTTCGACCAAAAATTTTAAGTTTCATGTGCCACCCTGACATTTTCAACCAGGTCCTTTTAACCCGCTAATCCAATACAACTTTCGTTAGGGTATCATCATAAACAATCTTATA